AAGGTGACAGCGGGTATCCTTGTCTCACACCGCTGGAGATATTAAAGGGCGACGACAGCTTACCGTAAGCCCTCACTCTGCCCGAGCTACACGCATATAATGCTCGGATAATATTCACATATTTCTCATGGACACCTTTCCTGAGTAGCCAGTCCCAAAGTGCATATCTATCCAGGGAATCGAATGCACCTTTGATATCGAGGAACACGACAATGGTGGGCCACCAATATGTGTGACGGTTCTCCAACAACTGACGCAGGGTGAAGATGTGGTCAATGCAGTCTCGACCTCGACGAGATACAGCTTGCTCTTCTCGAATCTGGCTTTCACGAGTGCCAGTCAGTCTGTGAAGGATGACAGAGACAAGCAATTTGGAGGCGATGAATATCAGACTGATTCCTCTGTGGCTGCCGTATTCCGATCGTGAGCCTCGCTTAAGAACTGGGACTATGATGGAGCGGCTCCAATCGGTTGGGACAGTTTCCTGCTCCCACAGTTTCACTAGTAACTCGTGTAAATCATCCACAATAGCTGGTCCCCCGAATTTGAAGAGGGCTGGAGGAAGATCATCGGGTCCCGCGGTTTTATTTAACTTTAACGGTTCGATCTCACGTCTGATTACGGAGTGCTAGGGTAGATCCAAAGGGACAGCCCAGTGAACGGGGCGATGAGTGGCCGGCGAGAAATCTAACAATTCCGACCGATTAAATTGCTTTCCAATTTGCTCAGCCCAACGTTCCAAGCGTCTTGATAAGTTGTGGATAGGCTGTCCACTCTCGTCACGTATAGTTTCACTAACATCAGATCTCCTGCTGCCCGTTTCCCGTATCAGACGGAATAACTCACGATGGTTACCAAGGGCAGCGGCCATTTCCATCCCTGTTGCACGATTAGACCACCAGCATTCGCGGTTTCTCTTCAGGCTAGCACCGAGTTTTGCCCGGAGCTCTTTGTGAGTTTCATTGTGTTCGCTTCCAGCCGGAATATGCCGGCGAGCATCTATAAGTTCCAGAGACTGTGAAGAGACCCAATGTCCATGTTGGTGATTAGACATACCACATGAGGATTTTCCTGCTGCTAGTAAGGTAAGTAAGGATATGAGACCCGTGGGCTTTAATTGCATCCAGTGAGCGTTTATCCAAATCGCATGACAGCGTACTTTGTTAGACTTTCAGAACAGCTGGCTTCGCCAGTCTGCCGGTGTCAATGCGCTCACAACGTCGTCGTGGGCTTCCTCCAAAACGCATCCGCAGGTCAGCACATACAAGTGCATGGTCGGTGTCTACACCTGTGCTCCAAATCGAGCGACAATTCTGGACGCATCCTCTCCATCGGTAACTTATCGCAATATGATCGATTTGCGTCCATAGCTGATTCGAGGCTGGTGGGCGCCAAGTCACCCTCCGGCGGGTGCTGTGTCTGAAATTAGTGCTCGCAAGAAATAAGCGAGCATCCTCACACAAATGAAGTAACCGCTCACCGTTATGATTACGGGAGCCTACACCATGTTGGCCGCCCAGATGCGATTCATCTGTGGATAATTTTCCAACTTGAGCGTTCATATCCCCAGCCAGCACTTCAGTGTCCGTGCTTCTTCTGTGGCTAAGGAGCTTGTTCATTTGACGATAAAAGTCGTCTTTTACCGAGTCATCGCTAGAGTTTGTGAGTGCATAGGCAGCGATAACGAATAGACACCTGTTAGTCCCACGCGACTTCGAAATTTTGAACGAGCCAGCCAATCGGACCGCACACATCCGGCGACTGATTGGAATCCAATTAACCAGAGTAGCTTAAGCCCGGGGACTCAGGGCAATATCAACACCGGTTCGGTCGGTGCTCGAAGCTGCATCGTCACCGGATAGGCGCAATGAGAAGGTGCTGCTATTGTCAGCTGAAGGGGATCGCAGAGTAAGTACAGAGCTCGAGTCTTGCAGGCGGGTCTCCGATAAGCAGCAGATACCGATCGATAGGGTCTCTAATGTTCGAGCAAGTGCTGACTGTTGACCGATCTGTAGTAATGGGCGAACATTGAGGCATGCCAATCTGAAGGAGTATCGAGGGCTCCAAATGGAAGCCGATGAACTGGAATAGGCCGATTGGTTGGACGTGGGCCTGTTGACAGTGCAGGAATGACACTCCGCGTTCACATGTGAGTTGAAAGTGAAAGACAAGCGACTGTTAAAGCAAGGTGGGGGAGGGCCGAGAATTGGGAGGTTAAAACGGGGGATAAATGTGAAGCTGGAACGGGACGATAAGGGTGAAAAAGCGCAAGAAGGGGAATAAGAAGACGTGAAGGCTTGAGCAGTCGCATCCAAACCTCCATCCACCCTACCCGATGCAGCAGATAAGGCACCGTTGATTATCCTCTGCGGTGGCCAGAGCATCAGAAATTCGTTTGAAGTGAGATTCGTATTGGGTACTTAGTGTCATGCCTGCGAAGTTGGTTGTTAGCCTGATCTCCAAACGAAACCCATACACGGTTGTCGTACCACTGATCATCATGTACTATGTCTCTATCCAGTTTGTGACAGCTCACACTTAAGTTTGAATAAACGCATGTGCATATGTGGTATTCGAACTGCTATTGGTGACGGATGACGCCAATCATTGTATATATGTATACCGAACGAATTCGACGATGATACTCATACCGCATTTGTATGGCTAACTTAGTGCAGGGAAGCGGCACTGGGGCAAACCGAAAATAACATTGCCAACACAGGAAGAAGATGAGTTTATGACAAACTCATTTTGATTTCAGATGTTACGAATCCAAGGCAAATCTGATCGATGCGAACTCCTTAGACTGATTGTAACGGCGGTTGCCCAGGTGCAGGAGAAGGCACTATTGCACGCGGAATAGAACCACGATGCGTACGCTCCCATTCGATTTACTAATCCAGGCCAATAAGGCGGCATATGTGGTACGTTTGCTTGCGTGATGAGTAATCTTGCATTTCAGAAGTAGATGTTCTTTGGGCTCCCCGGTGTGGATGCGCTTGATGTGTGTTGACAAGGTGCCTACCTGTCTATTACCCACCACCTCGTCCATACTGGCTCCAGGAGACAGTTGGTCGTCGCAGGAGGGGATGGGGTGCACCGTCCTCGTGACGGTGTTGGGCTCAAAGGGTGGTTCCATCCTGTGTGGAACAGGCTATGGTCCAGCCACCGCCATGTGTACGTCTGGTATGCATGATTTCCCAGTTAGAGCGGATGCTTCTGTTCTGCTTGTTGAAAGAGTGTGGGCCGGCTCCGTTGATGAGACGTGGCTCCCATCCACATGCCGACCGGTCTTATTCCTTCGGGTTAACACCGGATATGCGATGTGTGCGTGCAACTGTGAGTGGTGCAGCGCACACCACCCATACTCCCTTTTTAGGCGCAGGCGTCCTGGGGCTGTCCCCACGGAAACTACAGTGACGGGCGAATCCGGATACGGATGCCGCCAATCGATATATATATATATATATATATATATATATATATATATATATATATATATATATATATATATATATATATATATACTGTAAGGCACAATAGTAACACAAAGCAGATCCCAATTCCACATCCATTTGAGTAATACCTCTGTCCTTAGGAAATATGGCGGTTCGAAAATCTGCAGAGGAAATTTGGGTTAAACAATAGGTATGTACATGTTTCTGCGTTACTGCGTTCAGCAGTGACTTGGTAAACTTTGTGGGCTACTGATTCGGTTGCATTGTGCTCCTGAGCAGATTAGTTCTGCTCAGCGGGTGCGATACTCTGAGATCAGCGCCAGCGATCATGCGGGCTGACCAAGTTCAAAATTTGCCTTAAGATAAATGCTACCACAGTGGTAACAGGATGGTTTTCTTCTTGTAAATTAATGAGTAGACCGCATTTTCGGCACACTGGTCACTTTGGTCGCGCAGAGCCCTTCCGACTACAGCGTAATTTCCATGTGGCGAGCTTGCAGCCTCTATTTCATGTTTTTAGTTCTACAGTCGTCCTGGAGCAGTATTTCGAGTATGTGGTCATTGATAACTCCAGAGATCATTTGTTACGTAAGCGTGCAGCTCTTTTACTACAGAACAGAATGATAATCGCACGATTGCACTGCACGATTAAGTCTAGTACCGAAATCATCTAGTGGTTCTCTGAGCTTCCTTTGCATTTTGGAGAATAGGTACTTTGCAGTAAATGGGTTCATTTGGGATTCCCAGATACGATCGAGGGCACTGAGTGCATCTGTAACTGATTTGCTTCCTAGGAGCTTCAAGTCATACGAGTGCTGCTGCCTTCATCCCTGTGCAAGGGACGAAGCTGACAGAGAACTTTAACTTTGTAATTAATCCAAATGATTCAGGATCGAAATTTCCCTACGTAACACGGCACCTGATCTCGGCCTACTTACGCAGTCAGTCCAGAATCGTTCTGGAGGTTGAATTGCAAGAATAATGGCGAAGCTCACGACACCAAATGATGTATCAAAAAAAACGAATTTGTGGCATACGTGTATTGTCGGAGGTAAACATATAACATACAACTGCTTGGCATAAGTGGGAAATCATCTCAAATGTCAGCCCATGGATCAATCACCACTGATCGAATTTCAAACACTTACGGTAAGCTCAAGGCGTCTAATCACAATGACATTTACGAATTCGAGGGAACTTTTTTGTTTTCTCCTTTTTTTCTTCGTATTTTTTTCCTTTAGCGGTTAATTTTTCTACGTATTAGTTTATTAAGTGAGTTTTCTTTCGCCTCCTCGTTCTCCATCGTTTTCACACTTTTTCCCGTCGCGTGGTTCAGGCAACTGGATTCACTTGGGTACACACCCCACTGTTATCCATGTCAACTGCAACTGACTTTGCGAGAATTTTCACTCGATCGAATGGAACAGTCGTACTGTATTCTTAGTTCTTTTGTTGCACATGCCTACCCCATTTGTTTTTTTGGTCTGACTGCTTACCTTTGTGCGACTTCTGTCTTTGCTACACTCATATTTTTCCCCACTAGCATATACGATCGACGAAAAATGGACAGCCGTGATCCTCGAAGTGGCTACTTGCATTGTTTTGGGGCGGACCACCTTCGATCCACTGGAAGCCACACTCATCCAGCCGTCTTGGCTTCAGGTAATTCACGGGAATCAGTTACTCCAAATCGAGAACGGACTAACGCAGACTCTGAAACTGATTCCGACGTGGAAGAGGGCTCCAGCAGCTTCCTAAACTCGCTTTCTGCTCAACTTGGTCGGAGAGTCCGTGTTGTTTTAGATGGGCTTAGAGGTCGTGCAGAGGTGGCTTTTAGCTTCAGTAACGGAGGCCGTGATTCCGTTCGTTCACATCCTTCGTACAATCTCGAGTCCTCGAAGTATAGTGTCACTGCAGCTGTCTACAGTAATCAAGGCGATGGTGCGTTGTTTGACTGTCTTGTTTGTCTAGGCTATCACATGAATGCCTTCCAATTAATTTCATATTTTTCTTGTGTTTTTAGCCCTCTTGGCCTCTTACAATGATGAGGATATTTACTTATTCGATGTCCGACACCCCTCAAGTCCTTATCTGCACAAATACACTGGTCATCGGAATATGCAAACAAGTGAGCCACTCATTTCATCCAGCCTGTTACATACCACAGCTTGGTCAATATCTAGCCTCCGGTTGTTATTATGGGGTCATTATCTTCTCCAATCTCTTGCGGCACTTCTCGTCCAAATTTCGTGATATTCGTATTCAGCGGAGGTCTATACTGCTCTTACTCTGATCTGCCGGATGGTCAATACCGACATCTGGTTACTACTTATCAACTTATTAGATGGCACATCCATGCCTTTTGATCTATGTTTTATCTAACGTGTCTTTGTTCCTTTCGACATTTTCATCAACTTTTCTCCCTGCATCATCTCTCTTAGCTTAATTATTGCCATATGTCCATGTATAACATGCACTCGAGAAATTCAACTTCACATTGGGATACTACTCGCTTCGGCTTCTTGTTTATCAGGAACACCGCTATTCTATAACAACCACCAAAATGCTGAGGTTGCTTACTGTATGCAATTTAGACTATCCGACTATAACAACTTTGGCATTTCTCACAACTACTTACTCGTCTACCTTTGTGTACTCCTCTATGCAGACTAATCACGTGCTCATATCGTCATTATTCGTTATCTACCTGCCTTCTCTCAGCTCAGTTTACGTTGGCAGCCATCCGCCTATTCATGTGAGAAATCTCAAGAGTAATAACTTACAACTTATAGCCTTATAAGCCTTATTCAACTCGCAATGCTGAAATGTCGTGATTGACTTGAATGTCACTTGTGTCTGTGGCTAACTAGGGGGTGAATGCAACGTCTACTGATTTCTTATTTAATGTGCCTTGAGTCGGCTTGTCTTCTCTTCGCTCAGTTCGCAAAATGTTGATCGGCCTGTAGTCGCTCAGTCATGCCACAGATGCTCTTATACAATAACTGACTTCTGCTTAAGACCAAGAAGCAGCCATCTGCTAGGGCTACCAGAAACTAATGGGATTACTGTTGGGTGAAGTAATACGTAGTTTACCCAGATGCTTCGGGTTCAAATTTGGAAAACAACACAACTCGATGAATCAACTATCACCCGGGCACCAAGGCTCGGTGAATTTAGTCGTTGTGATTCGAACTGCTATTCAAGGGAAGGGCTGATGACAAGCAGGAGGACATATCATATTAGAAAGAGGAACACGTCGGAAAAGCACTCGGAAGTATGCATTATTGTAGAATACAAAAGTTATCAAGAAGAAGCAACGCACTGAGTGCAAAGATGCCATTGGTCACGATTGCTTCATGTCGAATAGATGAAGGGACGGTTTGCGAAACTATCAGAGGCTTACCTATGTCCGCAGACCGGTTTCGAAAGATGTGTACATTTAGGAAATACTGGGTGATTTCGGATATCTTTTGGGAACAAATGGTAGAACTAAAGAGAAAAGCTATACCATGCGATGAACTGTTCTGATTGCCGGAAACGTGGGCAGCCTTCAGATTCAATTGGGTGATCGTACTTGACCTTCGTGAGGGTCCCATCTGTTTCCTATATATTGCCACCCTTCTTACTTCGACCAGAAGGACACCAGCCGTTAACTCCGTATTCCTCACTACTAAAGAACATTGTTTTTAAATCTGTGTTGTCGTTTCGTACTCGATTTCTGGTTTGCATGTTTTTGGTGATCAAATAAATTGAGTCCCCCGTTTCTCCAAATCAGAGATTTTGATGATCTCCATTCTTCGAAAATGTCCCGCTTTATAAACCGCTGAGTAGTTCCAGTCTCCTTACATCTACCTTTTCGACCCATCATTATCTTTCTTTCTACTTCTGGGTGATGTGTATACACTCCTTCTCTCACACAGCCATGATTGCGTCCTCAGGGTTAAACTCCCTCCCGCATTTATAGTTGCTTTGTTTTGAAAGGGCCGCGTTATTTGCCACAGCGTGGATAGGTTAGGGTAGACTTGCTGCTACTTCTTTCCTTCTCTATGCTTTCTTTTGCTAACACTATTTTGCGGCTTGCTTTCCTAGGAACCAGTCTGGATGAGGGTTTCTGTGGCACTACTACAACTGCTAACTTCCTCACGACATTTCCCACGCTTGCTTTCTCATCGAAAACTACTTCTGCGGTCTTCTTACTCCATCTCATTGACTGCTTTCGGCGTGGTCGTAATTGGCTACATCCTTTTCCTATTTTTCCGGCTATCCTAACTGCGAGCTACCGCTTAACTCCCGCTGCTCTTAATAGCATTGACTTATCTCACATATACTGTGACTTGGACGGTAATTGACCATAAGGCACATAGACTAGGGCCACAACTAACCGAGAGTGGATCGGCATACCATCTGCACTCACACAAGCCGCAGGTAGATGAATTTGCTTGATAATTTCTCCTTACCGTAACAGAGGCCTGCTCGCACTCGTCATGTATCTCTCGACTCCCTACTTTGTGTCTTGTTTATTGTTATTTTAATTACTACCTTGGCACAGCAAACCTGCTGCACAATGGATTGACAAATTTGCGTACAGTAACTAGCTGGAAGACCGATTCGTTTACGGCTTTTCCTTCATACGGATGATATTGTAGACTCAATCAAACCTCCAAACCGGCACCTCGATATATCTGGTGTTTCCTATCAGGCTTTGCACTATTAATGTCATTACTTTGATTTCAATCACTCTATAACTTTCCCTTTCATGACAACGTTAACTTCACTACACTTAGGTGCTTTCGCCATTGTAAGCTAAACAGAACCCGTTTCAATGCGACCGACTTGGTGGCTTCCGCTTTGCACAGGAATATGCTATTCCGCTCTACTGTGTTCCAAACTGTGCACTCAGTACACTCACATTCCTTGGTCACTGAACGTTCAGCCAATGTTCCCATATTATTTATCCATTCCAGATTGCCCTCTTTATACACCTTGTTTTACGTGGCTGACGGATGTCTCTGTGGTGCTATTGACATTTCTCCATTTCTGGCACATTCTTTTCCTCTTCAATGCATATTTTTTTGACCATTTTCGGACCTTAAGCTTACTGACTTCTGAATCTTCCATTTTAGAGTTACCTGTGTGTTATCCCTTTCAAAGTGTTTGAGTCTTCGTTTGATCTTAGGTTGTTTTCATCGGTTCTAGGTCGATTTCTCCCCCACAGCGCATTGTACGCCGATTGTTTTTCTACAATTGAACCCGGTTATTTAATATCACATAACTTATTTCGCATACGTTTAGGTTGAAGTAGGTCTGTTTAATATTGAGAACCCAAAAACACCATTTAACAAGTCTCTGTCTCAAACATTTGCTACTGCTGTGTTGTGGTTGTATTTTCCGGAATTTATCATCATACACAATTCGGCTTGACTCACGATTTAATGTGGTTATCGAAACAACGCTCACTCACTCACTCATCAACAGCAGTACGTCAGCCATTTGGACTGATGCTTCACTGCCCTACAACCATACTGACCTATGAAATAAAGAGTAATAAGAGGGAGAGAAGGGGGACTTACCTTAAAACCTTAATGCCGTGAGCAAACATTCTGGGTCAAGGCGCCTGCACCTTGTGTAGACAACCTACCGTCACAAACAGCTGGCTATCTTGCAAAGATAAGGTGGCACGGGCGAGACAGCTTCCTTTGCGGCTTTCACTGCCACGCGTCATAATCAATCAGTACCCCGCAGATAAGTCAGCACCCAACAAACTGTAAACAGGCAATCCGATTAGGAGACGGCAGCAGGCGCGCCACTGGTGTCGGTTGCGAGCCATGTCCTGTAAAGTCTCAAGCCAAGCACAAGGCGAGTCACGTGCACTCCATCCCGGATGAGGAGACGGACCAACGGCACCCAGTTTGGTCGTCAGTGACTTCATTTCCCTCTGCCAAGTCAACTTCTCTCCACCTCGAGCCTTGCGCCACCCTACACCTGGTAGACTGAACGAAGCCCTCCTTGGTAAGCGGTGATCAGACATAGGTAGCACGTGCACAGTCCAACGCAACTTATTCAATGCGATCTGTTCTAGCAAGCTAGCATGATTATCACTACCTAGTAATCGCCTACGCACGTCATCGTGGATGGTGTGCCATCCGACACCAGCAATGCTTCGCCGACAACAATGATCAAATATTTGAAGGCGCCTCAGATCTTCAGGCCGAAGGGGCAAAGTCTCACTACCATAGAGCAGAACGGCCCTCACTGTGGACTTGTGTACACTGCCTTTCAGACGGAGAGAAACTCCCTTCCGTCGCCAAAGATGCCATAGGTTCGAGAAGGCAGCTCTAGCCTTTGCAATGCGTGAGCTCACGTCAGTTTCTATGCGCCCATCGTTGCTTGTGCAACTGCCAAGATAAGTGAATTGATCAACCACCTGGAGTTCCTCGTTAGCGAGAGTCAAGGGGTCATCAAGTGGCTGGTAGTCCTGCAGCAACACTTTGCACTTTGAAGGTGCGAAGTGCATACCAAATAATGGGACCATTCTGGACAGGCGATTCAAAGCTGATTGTGCTGCCGCAATGTCGTCGAACAGCAAGACGATATAGTCCGCATAATCAAGATCAACTTATCTGTCACCGGGCAGCACTTCAATGCCTACATCGTGAGATTCCGCAAGGGAACACTCCATGATAGAATCCACGACGAAAATGAACAAAAATGGGAAAATCGGACAACCCTCATGAACGCCACTTGTAGTCGGAAAGCTATCCGATTGGACACCGTAGACCCTGACGCGGCCTGTAGTGTTCGAGTATAGAGCAAGAAGGATGTTCACATATTTCGTGGGAACACCTTTCCGCGCAAATATTTCGAACAGAATGCATCGATGGACTGAATCGAACGCACCCTTGAAATCGAGGAACAGCTATTGTCGGGCTGTGGTATACTTGGCGTTGCTCTAGCTCTTACTGCAAAGTGGTTATATGGTCTATACAGCCACGTCCTGATCAGAAACCTGTCTGCTCTTCCCTAATCCGAGATTCCTGTTCCACAGTGAGGCGACGAACGATAATCGAGGCTAGTAATTTTGTCACAACTGGCGTTAGGCTAATACCCCTGTGGTTCGCACAGTCTGTG